TCCGTTCTTAGTGTGTCAGTGTTAAAAGTGACAGAACATTTGAGAGTGGGTCGTTGGCCTGGAGAGAGAGAAGGCTCAGTGGTTGAGAGCACTGGCTGCTCTTGCAGAGGACTCCGGATTGATTCCCAGAACTCAAGTGGTGGCTCACAGTCATTTGCTGCTTCAGTTCCAGGGTATCCAACACCCTCTCCTGGCCTCCTCAGGTTTATAGACATGTATCATATTTTAAAAAGGAAAGGACTGGGGGCTTTTCAGGAGTGAACTCAAGCCAGTAAGTGGCACTCTTCCATGGTCTCTGCTTCTAGCTCCTGCCTTGAGTTCCTGCCATGGTTACTCTGGAGAACAGAATATAACCTGAGATGAAGTGAACCCTTCTCTGCCGCTCTGGTCATGGTGTTCATCACAGCAGCAGAGAAACTAGGGAGTGTCCTCAGAAGGTCTGGCATCTGTCCCTCTGGCCTCTAGCTTTGTTCTGTGATCTCCCTAGTCACACTTGTTCCTGCCATTCTACCACGAGGTTCTTAGGATAGCCCGTGCCAGGACCTTGAACCTCAAAGCTAGGAGCGAAATAAACCTCTTTTCTTTATAAAGCACTCAGCCTTAGAGAGATTGTTATGGTAACTAATACAGACCTCCTCTGGATTAGCTTCAGGAACAAAGGGAAGGCTATGGAGCATATAAAGTGGGGAGCAAGTCTCCCCATGTTAGGCTAAGTACATGTGGCCGGTATTACCAGTGTGGGCACTTGGTGGGTGGAGATCTGTAACCGGGGGTGTTGGGGGCTTAGGTCGGCAGTTGGGGTGAAGATATCAGAGGAAGTGACTTCCATCAGTTAGGCCTTCAGATGTAATTACTTCTCCTGTGCATTTGTTCATGTGCACATGTGTGCTCATGCCTGAGTGTCTTCCTCAGTCACAGCCCGCCCTGTGTTTTGAGACAGGTTGCTTAGCCAGTGAGCCCCAGGGGTCTCCTGTCTGTACCTCCCAGTGTGGGGGTCACACTCAAGCCACCACACCTGTGTCTGTTTTCTACGTGGGTTCCGGGGACCAAACTCAGGTAGACATGCTTGCACAGCAAACCCTTTACCCCCAGAGCCGGTGGGTCCCTCTTGTGAGGACTCTCATCTTCCTTGGCTGTGACCCCTGAACCACGGGGCCAGGCTGAGGCGGTGAGGGTGTTCGGCACGACGCTGCCTGAGTTGGCTTTCTCGGTTCTGCCCCTCCTTGCCAGCCTCCTCTTCACCCGTGTGGTGGCACAGGTGGCTCAGCAGAGACTTCGTGTCCTAGAGAAGAAGGTTCAGATCAGGAGCGTCTGTCATTCAGCAGGGGGTGGCTGTTGGTTCTGGAAACGGTGAGCCCTAAAGTGACTTAGTTTGAGTCATTTTAGAAATGGCAAAGCAGCTGTCGAAAGAAATGTCTTCCAGTAACTGCTGGATGAAGGGTGAGCCCAAGTTCACCCAGAAAGCACCTCTTCTGTGCAGACTTCCTGTGGGACTCTCCTCCCTTTGTGGTCTTGTCTGCAGATTTATAGGCCGTCGGGGTGGGGTTGCTTCTTCTGCCAGCTTCCGGCTTGGGAACCTGTGCTGTGATCACACTAACGAAAGGCTTGGGAAGCTGCACACTTCAGGTGATGGACCCTGTGGTGTTCAGTAAGGACCTCTGCCACTCTTCCTCCAGAAGAGTCTCACAGACCTTATGTTCCTCCACTTTTAGTCATAGTGATTGACAGACAGGTGAGCAGCAAGGCATTCTGGGAAATGTAGTTTTCCACCTTCTAACCCAAGGCGTGGAGTTGTGCTACAGAGGGCTGAAGTGGTTTTGGAATCATGTGCAGGTAAAATATCCATCAACAAAAATCACATCTGCCATGACTTCTTTACAAAACAATTTACATGTGTGCATGTGTATGTGTACACACACATTCTATGTGCAGAGGTCAGAGAACAACTCACGGGAGTTGATTCTCTCCTGTCATAGGAGTCCCTGGGGATTCATTCAGGTCACCAGGCCGGCCACGCATCTTTACTCACTGAGCCATCTCACCGGCCCTGTTGTCTTTTTGAGACAGGGGCTCCTGTGGCCCAGACTTGCCTGGAGCTCAGCATGTCGCTGAGGATGACCTTTGAACTCTTGGATCTTAACTTTCACGTCTCAAGTGCTACCATGGCATTCCATGGATGCCCAGTTCTGAAAATATTTCTTTACAGCACTTGGGAGCTCTCATAGGTTAATGACATAGAACCCCTAAATTTCGGGCAAACAGCCTGACCTCATCACTAACGCCCCCTTGCCGCACCTTGTGTTGTATAGGTTTCTCCCCAGGCTGAAATTTGGAAAAGTTGTGATTTATCAGAGACTGGGCCATGTTTTTTTCATACTTAATTTTTTATTTTAGTTTTTGAGAATTTCGTATAATGAGCACTATATTTACTATATTTGTTTACGCCCTCCACCCCTCCCCTCCTTCCCTCCGACTCCTCTCATGCCCCCCCACTTCCTCTCAACTTCATGACCTCTTCTTCAATAGTGTGCATGCCTCTGTGTGTGTATGTGTATGTGTGTGTGTGTGTGTGTGTGTGTGTGTGTGTGTGTGTGTGAATATAACACTGAGTCCCTCTAGTGTTGCTTGTATTTTTAGGACTGACCACTTGGGATTGGCTGACTTATCCCTGGAAGACAATTCTACCTCCCTTAGCAGCCATTACTTGTCTGGAGCTCTCTCTTCACGGATGGGTGGAGCCTGGGGGGATGTCCCCCATCCACAGTAGGATGTCAACTGGTGCAGCTTTCTGTCCTATGCAGAAGATGCTATCTTGTAGCCTGTCCTGGCCATCTGGCTCCTGCCCTGGGAGTGCTGGGATTACCAATACTTATCACCATGTCTGGCTTTTCACAAGGGTCCGGGGGATCAACTCAGGTCATCATGCTTGTGTAGAGAGCACTTTTATCCACCACAGTCTTACTGGCCCTGAGTGTGGTTTTTTTTAGTAAATAGAATGAAGTGAAGCATGATAGTTAACACAGGACAGGAAGTGCACTCACATTTATGAGCATGCATATCGGTCACTTTCCTTGTTGCTTTGACTAAATATCTAAGAAAGGCTGCCTAGGGAAGGAAGATTATTTCGTACATTTGAGGTCACAGTTCCAGTTTGTCATGGCAGGGAGGGTATGGTGACAGCAATGTGAGGTGACAGGTCACATTATATCTGTAGTAGGAAGAAGGGAGATGAATGCTGGTGCCCAGCTCACTTTCTCCTCATTCTCCCTTTTTAGTTCAGCCTGAGAGCCCAATCAAGTGGAGCAATCCCATTCATTTTTAGGGTGGTTCTTCCTTCCTTGGTTCAGTCTTTCTGGAGAAGCCTCACAGGCAGAGGCAGAGGAGTGTCTCCCAGATGATTCCAATTCCAGTCAAGTTGACAATGAGGATTGGCCATCCCCGCAGATGACATATCTGAATACTGTGTGCTAGCACAAGTCTAAACTTTTGGTGTGTGTGTGTGTGTGTGTGTGTGTGTGTGTGTGTGTGTGTGTGTGGTCTTATTTGGGAACTCAGTCCTGGGAAGCACATTGTCACAGTTAGATTTCTGCTGCTGTGATAAAATACTAACCCAAAGCAACTTGGGGAGGAAAGGGTTATGCTCCACCATTGAGAGAGTCAGGACAGGAACCTGGGGGCAGGAGGTGATGCAGGGGCCATGAAGAGGTGCTGCTTTCTTAGAGAACCCAGGACCTTCAGCCCAGGGATGGTACCACCGACAATGGACTGAGTCCTCCCCCATCAATTACTAATTAAGAAAAATGCTCTACAGGCTTGCCTACAGCCTGATCTTATGGAGACATTTTCTCAACTGAGGTTCCCTCCTCTCCAGTGATTTTAGCTTTGTCAAGTTAACAAAACCCTGACCAGCACACAAATGCTTTGCTTTAATAAACGGCATGAAATTGCCTCCTATATTTCAGGTGTGATTAAATTTTTCTCCTCCCATTTCCACTCAAGTGGGGTACTGAATCGTCCTGTAGAGATAAGGAGAATGTTCACCCTTAGCAGGCTAGGGAAGGCCCCCTCCCCTACCCACATTAGCTGGGTAAGTTTTGACCATCATATGGTGCTGAGATGCTCACTGGCCATGCTGTATGTTGTGGACAGCCAATCTCTCTGTGCTCAGCTTCACGGTTGTGGCCATTGATGGAGCTCCTTAGGTTGGATTTCCTCATGTCCTCTCACCTGCCCCTGTGGCTGCCTCACAGACATGGAGCCAGGTACCAGAGTGTTCTGCTTACAGGAGCTGCTTCAGGGGAAGGGGCGGGCACATACCATAGTTATTCTTTTATTGCAAGTTGATATGAAATTAGTTCATTTCTTTCCAGTTATCATGTTGACTGTAAGTAAAGAGTTAGTACACCTACCCTATGCCAGTGTGCTGTGTCTAATTTACATCTTTCTTATTAGTGAGAAAGTGTCTTGGCATCAGTAGTGGTATGAATGAAAATGGCCCCCATTAGCTCATAGCTTTGAATACTTGCTCTCCAGTTGGTGGAACTGTTTGGGGAGGATTAAGAGGCATGGTATTGTTGGAGGGAAGTGTGTCATTGGGGGCAGGCTTTGAGGTTTCAAAAGCCCATGCCGTTCCCTGTTAGCTCTCTCTCCCCCTGTGCTATGGATCAAGATGTGAGCTCTCAGACACTACTCCAGCACCATGCTGCCTGCCTGCTGCTGTTCTCTGTTACTTCATGGTCATGGACACTAACCCTCTGAAACTGTAAGCCCCAAATAAAAGCCTCATCTATAAGTTTCCTCAATCATGGTGTTTTATCACAGCAACAGAAAGGTAACTACCATAGCATTGGAGCTCATTTTTTATTGTCATATGACTTTGGATACATGAGTTAAGATCCATTAGTCTGTTTTACCTTTTACAAAATGGGCTAACAAAATAGAGTTCCATCCTGGAGGACCAGTGTCCATGAAGACTCTGAATTAGTACACCTGGAGAATTGTGGAGAGGTCAGGCTGGGGGGGACAGTTCAAGGTGGGTGGCAAGGTTGGGGTTCTAAGTGGGTAAATGCCATCTGACAGAATCTGGACTCCCAATGGACTTCTCTCCAGTCACATGCATATTACAGTTCCTCTGGTAATGCCTTCTCTCAAGTCACACACATATTATGGTCCCTCCAGTAATGCATTGTCTCCAGGTCTCACAAATGTTACAGTCCCTCTGGAAATGCCTTGTCTCCAGGTCACACACATGTACCGTCCCTCTGGTAATGTTACCTCTTGTTCTTCCCTCCTAGGACCCGACTGACTTTGAGTGGAACTTCTGGCTGGAATGGGGGAAACGGAGCCTGGTGTGGCTCTTCCTTGGCCATTTGGCTGTGTCTCAGTTGGCCATACTGCTCGCAAAGAAGGTACGAGTCCATGTGTCACTTGGGTTTGGTGAAGAGGCCTGAGCTACGAATCAGGAGATGGGGTATCAGTGGGGAAGCCTGGGAACAGTATTGGTCCAAGTGACTCTTCAGTTGAAGGTGTCTTCCCATCTCTCCCTGCATTGACTTCCTCCAGATTATTTCCTAAAATGATCCCATACAAAGGTTTCAGAGTGAACTGACTCAGCTGGCATTCACTCCCTGGTGGAGTGATCTAGTGAAGACTTGCTTGCTTGGGAGAATGTGTGTGGCCTCACAGGTCAGAGGGAGTGGAAGATATTATTGATAGGAAGTGGAGGCAAATGGGATAGCTCAGCAGTTAAGAGCACTGGCTGCTTTCCCAGAGGATGTGGGTTCTGTTCCCACACCCACAGGGTGGTTCACAACTGTAGTGGCCGGTTTTATGTCAACTTGACACAAACTGGAGTCATCTGAGAGGAGGGAACCTCAATTGAGAAAATGCCTCATAAGATCCAGCTGTAAGGTATTTTCTTAATTAGTGATTGATGGGGAAGGCCCAGCCATTGTGGGTGGTGCCATCCTTGGGCAGGTGGTCCTGGGTTCTCTAAGAAAACAGGAGGAGCAAGCCATGGGAAGCAAGCCAGTAAGCAGAAGCCTCCATGGCCTCTGCATCAGCTCCTGCCTCCAGGTTCCTGCCCTGGTTGAGTTCCTGTCCTGACTTCCTTCAGTGGTGAACAGTGATGTGGAAGTGTAAGCCAAATAAACCCTTTCCTCCCCAAGTTGCCCTGGTCATGGTGTTTCCTCACAGCAATAGAAAACTTGACTAAGACAATGATGGTCTGCAACTCCAGTTCCAGGGGATCCATTTCCTTTATCTGGCTTCACATGTGGTGCACATATAAACACATGGGCCAAAATCCATACATGTAGAATAACAAATCTTTTTAAAAAGTAGCAACAGAGCTGGGGAGGGGGTGCTGTCAGTGACATCCCTGCTGTGTAAGCACAATGATCTGAGTTTGACCCCAGAACCCACATAAAGAGCAGCTGGGCATGGGGGTGCCTGAAACACCAGCTCTGAGGGGCTGGAGCAAGGCAGATCCCAGGAACTTAGGCAGCCAGCCAGGCCGACATAGCAAGCTCCAGGCCAACGAGAGACCCTGTCTTAAAAAAACAAGGTGATGGTTCCTGAGGGAAGAATGATTTCTGACGTCTGCGCGCGCATGCGCGCGCGCGCGCACACCAGATGACTTTAGTATTGAGCAGTGTAGTGTCATTTTATGCTGGAACCTGTGGTGGTTTGTGTAGTGGGTAACCATTCCAGCTTTATATACTTTATATATGTTCCACTTCTGTTTAGGATATTTGGTATATTGATATATATATTTAAGATTATTGTCATATTGCATATTGCATTATATATTCCTACCTCTGTTATAAATATCTTGTGTATTGTCACAATTTTGAAGTCATCATTCTTCACCATACATTTGCTTATAGACTGTTTACCTTGTTTACGTGAAGCCTTAGTCCTTAGGTTATTTCGGTAGATAAGACATAGATTTATAGTCACCTATGCCTGTCATCTCTATAGTTATATTAGTTAGGTTATCCAGATTTACAGATACATAGGTCAGATGGACAGGTTATCTTCAAACACTTCATAGACCTAGAGAATATGGCATTTAAATAACTTAGAATTCTGTTGATGTGAGACACAATTGCTCCTGGCTGCACCAATTGATCCCGAGAGAATGTTGGACTTCTAAGACATTTCCATTTGGAAATTTGTCTTTTTGGCACAAAATGGCCTACTGGGCAAAGAACTGCCCTTGCCTTGATGGCTGACAGT